TTGTACTTTCAAAATATAATTGAATTGTTGTTAATTCTCAATGAGACAGGGAGGAAAACTTAAAGCATATTTCCTTTGACTTCTGGGTTTGACTTTTAAAGCTGGTGAGCCAATTTCCTTTAATCACTAGTTGCAAAACAGCCCTTATGACCAGTGTATATTAAAATCTCTCTTTCCTTTTTTTTTTCTTTTTAATTTAAATTTAAAATTTGAGAGAAGTTAGTTGGTAGATCTGATCCAACTCATGGTTGTGTGTCCGTCCAATAATAGAGGAACACATGACTATCTTATTTGAAAAATAAGAGACAAAGTGAACATACGTCTCTTTATATAAAGTATACGTGGTGTGTTATAACTCAAAATACTTGCTATAGTTTCTCTTAATTTGGAGGATCTTATATTAATTTTTAATTTTTATTGTTGAGGCGGCTTGGAAAAGAGTTTAATTTTCCTTATTGCGTAATTAAGAGGGGGTGTAAGCACCTGGTGGAGGATCATTCAACTGAATTAGTTGGGTGATTACATTAAAAAATAATATTGCAGTCCCAAAACTTCAAGGTAATGTCCTGAAACTTGGATCATTAATCATATAGGAAAGAAATCAAGCCAAAAATTACTGATTCAACCATCCGGTTAATCAGAATTAAAACTTATTGCCATGGTGCACGTCTAAACACAGTCATGTATTGCATGGTAAATTAATATTAACTAATTTTCTTGAACCAGTGCTACTTTAAATGGGTGACCTGTTTAACAGTGGTTCTTTTATCCAGTTTCATGAAAATAAAAATAGGTTTAGGGGTTTATTCTAGGGTTGGCCTTGGCTTAAGACGAAGAAATCAATCGCCTCCAACCGCAAATTTTATCAAAATAGGGTCCCCAAATAATTTTCTCTTAATAGTGTTAATTGATCCAAAAATAAAGGCCCAATTCAACTAATCTAACTTTACAATTCAAAATAAAAAGTCCTTACAAATTATGCGAACTTAATTAGTAATTTTGTTTCTAAACATGTTGGAATAATATAATATTATAATTGTAGATTTTGTTTGATATTTTTTTCGTTTTTCTCTTTTTAAATATTGGGCGATGTTTCATTTTTTTTGTAAATTGAATTTTGCTAAATTAAAAAATAAGAGGATCATATTTTTATCTTTTGAATTTTGTAATGACTTCTTCATGTCAGTGTAAGTAAATTTTAGTATATTATTTTGTGCAGATGGCGCTATTTGGGAAGTTTGGTTTTTGGGTTTTTTTTACTAAAAGACAATTTAGTTATAAAACTAAAAAAAATCAATCTAAACAAAATATCACATCAAACCTATAATCATTTCACTTTTTATCTCACAAATATCATATTCAACCACAAAAAAACTCAACTATATTCACAAACACAAAAAAAATTTTCTCTAATAATATCCTACAATTAAAAAAACTTACAAAAAAATTCACTTTCCAAACACCCGCGTATATATGCGTGCGCTTACTTTTTACCTTTTTTTTTTTTTTTGGGGTTGTGAATATGTGTATAATAAGACTGCATATTTAGAAATTTTATTTAAAATAATATATTGATGGATCATTTTCATTTTTGGATGCTGTTGCACGCATTACACCGTCCTTGAATCTACATTGTATTACATTTTTGGAGTATTTTTTGAGATAAAATTTTAGATAGATGATATTTTTTTCAAACATAAGGGCTCCAATTTTAAATTTCGCCCCTGGTTTATTCAGATCAAAACTCCGGTCTGAATTTAAAAACTTTGCTTTGAAGGCCCTCTCCAGTCATAAAATATGTTGTTGCTGCTGCAATGCAAGGCCGCCCAACTAGTCAACTACTAAGCCGGCTCGATTATTAATACATATTATACAATTTATATTTATTTCTATATTATATAAATGAACATATTTGTGTTATTTAATTTTATTTTTGCTTAAAATCAAACAATAAACCAAAGACGGAAACACACCCATCAAACTTTAAACTTAAAATATAGAATAAACAAAATTAAATATTTGTGCCAACTTAATTAAAAAATTATTATTATTTATTTAATTCATAGATTTATTGGCAAAGCTTGGGATTGAACTGTAATTTTAGAAGCCTAGCTTAATATTTAAAGTTTAGTCTCAACGTTAAGCCAGTCCAAATTTGAGCACGAATTTTTTTATATTTTTTTATTTTTTCTTAAGCCCCATTTAAAAATTGACAATCGAAAAAATTGGTGAAAAGTCTATTTTAAAGAGGGTGTAAGGTATTAGGTCTCATAAGTATTTTTTTGGGCAAAAAGTACACTGTTTGTAAAATATTATAATAAAAAGTACATTTTGTTATTTTGGAAGACATTTTGTTTCTAATTTTATCTTACAACGCTCCTACAGGGCCCGAACATTTCAAGCTCGAATTTGTCCTGAATCCAAAACGACATCGTTTTGGATTATCTTACCGGTAAGAGAATTGTAATATATCTTATCGGTAAAAGAATTTTATTACATGTTATCGGTAAGAGAATCCAAAATGACGTCGTTTTGAGTTTCGAGCCAAACAATTTCGGGCCCTCAAACATTTTTTTTTATCTTATATGTTCAATTTTGAACCTATTTGTTCAAATTTTGTATTTATCTGTTCAATTTTTTGAACCTATTTGTTCAATTATTTTTCCTCATCTGTTTAATTTCCCCCCTATCTGTTGAAATGTGCTAATTCTTTCCTATTTGTTGAACCTATCCGTTCAAATTTTTTTATCTGTTAAAATAACAATTCAACAAACAGTCACAAGTTTCATTTTTTACTTGTTGAAACAATTTCATTATCTGTTGAAACAACTCTTCTCATCTCTTCTCTCTCTCTCTCTCTCTCTCTCTACAAACCCATTTCTTTTTCTCTTTCTATTTGCCTGTCTCTCATCTTCCCCACCAGCTCTCTCTCTCTACAACTCAACAACACTCTGAACCTTCCGCCATTTTCTATACCTCAATTCAACACCTCCACACACACACACACACAATCTGTATCCTAGAAATCTTTGGAAAAAAATATATAAAAAAGGGCAAATTACAAACACCCCTTCGAGGTTTGATAAAAATACAAATTCCCCCCTGAGGTTTGAGAAATTACAAATTGCCCCCTGAGGGTCAAATTTTCATAACAAATTAGGAAAAATTAGGGGGGAATCTGTATGAAAATAAAAACCTCAGGGGGCAATTTGTTATGGAAATATAAACCTCAGGGAGCAGGATGTAATTTCTCAAACCTCAGGAGAATCTGTATTTTCACCAAACCTCGAGGGGGTGTTTGTAATTTGCCCTATAAAAAACTAATTTATGACAATGATTCGAAGTAGAGATGAGAGGTATGGGTATGATGGCTCCTGACGAGCAAAGGACCATTTTGCTGTTGTGTCACGAGTTTTGACATGATGATCAGAAACTTATTTGAAATAACAAATCAGAACATGAAATAATTTGATTTTTCGAAATTCATTTTTTTTCACATTAGAATTTAAAAATAAAAAATAAAAAATCAGAAAAACAAACGAAACAGAGTGTGTTTATTGAATCTTCCAAAGCATTTTTGGGCAATTTTATTTAGTGGTAGTGGCTTTCTATCTTCGAGAAGAAACATTAGTGTATCAGCATTAAAATATAGAAACAAGACACTTTGCCCTTCGGCTCAGATCTGTATCTGTCTCTGCGATGCTCACTAATTTTTTTTTATTTTTACTTATCGGCGACAGTGTTTCGTGGTAGTGGGGGTAAGAAGACCAGATATTGTTTCAAACCTGGTTTTTCGGCAATCCACTTTTCCTACAGAACTTGAAGATGATGATGAATAAGTGAAAATATTTCATAAAATTTTTAAAATTTTTAACATTTTTATTTTTAGAATTAATTATCTAAAAGTCTTATTTACAAATATTATAATAGCTCAAGTCTTATCTAAGATTTTTTGAACTAATAAGTTCTATTTAATAAAACTGAAAATATTATCAGTCTTTTTTAATTTTTAAAACTAAGAATATTATCAAGTTTGAACAATAATGTTTCAGATAATTATTTCACCAACTAATAAAAAAAAATAGAATATGAGATTAAACGTTTTTACCTTTTTACTTATTAGTTTGATTCAATTACCTAATAAAATCGAAAATATTATCAATTTTTTTAACTTTTAAAACTGAGAATATTACAATTTTTTCATTGTTAATTTTTTTAAAAAATTTTACACATCAATATTTTATCATTATGCTTCTTCATTACAAAAAAATAATTCAATTTTTTCAAAAAAAATATAATAGTTTCTTTTTTTCTTTTTCACATAATTTCTTTTTAATTTTTTAATTTAAAATTTGATATTTAAAATTTTAAAAATCAAAATAAATATCAAATCATTATTTTCCTTTATAGATAATCATAAATAATAAACAAATATTGTTTGAAAGACAATTTCAATTATTAAAAATTTAATAGAACTTAAAGGTCTAAAAAAATCTTAGGAGTGTCCTAAAAAAGTGTACTTTTTGTCTTTTTACGAAAAGATGTGCAGAAAAGTAGAGAGGTGATGTGATGAAAAAAAGATAAAAAGATAAAAAGATGAATTATATAGGTTATGCCAAACGAGGCCTTAAGAGTTGATAGAATACAAATTCATAAATTAAAAGACTTGTACGTAAAAATCTCTTATTTTTATTTATTATTATTATTATTTTTTTTTTTTCACCACAGTTACTTTCGTTTCGTGTTCATCCACGCCAACCACCTGGGACCCTCCAAGACAAAAAAAGATTCAATAATAATGTCTTAAACTGGACAAAAATATAAAGAGGCCAAATCATTTGTCATACTCAATTAACCCCATGCCTGGTTGTGCATAGCTCTTCACATATATGAAGGGTCTAAACAAAAGACCTTTGGGGTCAGTCAGCACTTGGAATTCAAACAACGTGTGAATTCCAAGCCAGTCCCACCTAGGATAGGCTCTTAGGTTAAGGATTCGGTTGGCAATAAGAGTTTGGGACTTTTTTTTGACTATTTTAATTACAAAAAATAAAACATCACATCCAACTCATAATCATTACACTCTTCTCTCACAAAAAAAATCAAAAAAGTCAAAAAGTCAAAAAGTCCTTCCAAAACCAAACTTTTTAGCCCAAGCTAAAAAAATCAAAAAGTCAAAAAGTCAACCCACTTCTCAAACGGAGGCTAAGGAATCCATACTCGAGCATTCTCAAACGGAGGCTAAGGAATCCATACTCGAGCATTCAACTGGATCCCTCCCAAGATAGATAAGAAATCATTTTACATCTGATCAATCGAGGTCTACAACTTCACCAAGCTTATTAACATTCCGTTCCACTGCATTTATCGAACAAAGAGATAACTATACATATCAAAAATTCACTTTCCATAGTGAACTTTGGAAAGAAAAAAAAAGAAAAAAAAAGAAAAAAACACTGCCAGTTAATGAAGCAAACAAGATATATTTATTTTTTATAAGAGCAAACCACATATATGAATATTAGTGTTTTCATGGTATATATAATTACATGCCAATATCAACTATTGCAACTAGAAGTTGCCTCCAACCATTTCCAAAAGCAGTACTGCATAGAGGGTCTCTTTGGTTTTTCCCCAGTTCTGTAATCTCCATCTCTTCAATACTGCAACTAAGCAACCTAGATATCCTAAACATGAGAGACAATTGAAAGCAAACTTCAAAAAGTTCTTTAACAAGCCAACACATATTAATTACCTACACTTACAAGGAAGAAGCTTCACCTATTTTAGGAGAGAATAACACCTGGATGACCTTCCTCCAAGAATATACAGCCACTTGCTCTGTTCCTTCAAAGGAACCACACGGATGCATCGTGCTTTGGCATGGGGTCAATGGGATAATCAACCGAACCCAAGTTCATTGGCGAACCAAATCTGAAATCTGCAATATTGTCGTTTCCATTGGTATCGAATGAAGAAGCATACGCTTTGCACTGATCAAACTGAAATTCACTTGATGGGAAAACTGAATGATTCAATGGCATGTTGGTTTCTTCCATTATGACCCCCTGCCCATAGAAATTATCATCCAGTTGAAGTAGAAATTTTTGCTGCTGTGGAGTCTGATCTTCGATAACATCAAGGCTCCCAGAATTCAAGCTCTTGGTCTGCAGAAGATTAGTATCGTAGAACGAGAAGAGATCAGAAATCATCTTTTGCCCGTCTTCTGGAAGTCCGAGTCCGGTAACATGGAAAGACGGTGAACCCTGGTTCACTGTCCGAGGAGTTGGCTTGGGTTGTGCTAAGGAACTAGAGAAGGCAGGTGCTTTGTCATTGTTGATATGGAAGTTTGGCATTTCAAACCCTTGACAAGAATTGTTTCGGTAAGGGCAATTCATCTGGTGATTGTTTCTCGAAGTTCTGTCGAAAAACCCACTTTGGTAATTGTTATAAGGGCACTGAGGGAACTCACAGGTATATGTCTTCTGCTCCATCATTATGTGCTGCTCATCCGATGGCTGCTTCCTCTTCTGAATGAAATCCGAATTTGTTTCAATAATTTCACCCTTGATTTGAGCCAATGGCGGCACCACAAACCTATCTTTCGATCCCCCCATCCCCAAATTGAAGATAGTACCATCACGGGGCTTGCACTCCTCTACTTCAGTATTTGGGTCATCATCCACTCCTTCAACATCATAGTCACTCACATCACTAATGACAAATGATCCACTCCCAGCAGCAAACGATGCGGGTGGGCAGCTATCGGGATACAGCTTTCGGGACAGCGACTCCTCCTGGTTAATGATAGCCAACCAAGTGGCACTCTCCTTCGCTGTCATCTTATCCTGCAAGCATTTAGACTGGCGCACAAGCTTGCGGATCTTGGCAATGTCGGGGGACATGTGTTTGATCACTGCTGTTAGAACGCTAACCTTCCAGGCCTTCTTCAGATCGTGAGGTTTTTTGTATGGAGGAGGGCCTTGATCATTAGGAAGACCCAATTGAGGCCACCATTCCTCATTTCCAGTGGGCCACCACGGTGGAGGAACACCCTTCTCCAATGGGAACCGCCTCTGGGGTGGTTCACAGTGCTGCATCAGAGCCGACAAAAGTGAACCGAGGGTGGTGTCTTGGAGCTCCTGCAAGGTGTGAGGAGTGGAGGCCACTGTGATGCAGTCTTCATTCTTCCCGGGTATTGAATGGTCAGCCTGGTACTTGGATATTGCAGCTGGCCCATTCCTGTCGAACCTGACTTTCTCCTTCCACCATGCACGAAGATTGTCAGAGGCTCCACTCACTGGTTTTCCTTTCTCAGGGATGATCCCGTACACAAAGCCCTGGGCTTTACATACTTCCATCATTTTCAGCATGTATTTGAGGATACCATCTTGTGCCCGAGACATTTTCTTTCTTCGAGCTTGCTCCTGGGACTGACGCTGCTTTATATTGTCTACTCCATCCTTGGCCTTAATCTGTTCTTTAAGCCGCCTCAGGAGCATTCTGTCTTTCCACATCCTCCTCTCTAGCTCATCAACATCCATCTCCTCATCACTGTAATCGTCCTCCATAGCAGCCTCTTGTTCAGGTTCCAAAGCCACCTCTCCTTCCCCCGGAGGAGCTGAGAGAAAATCAAAATTGCTACAGAAACCCATGTCCTCCAAAATGCCCATTTAGTAACACAGGCAAAATCAAACCCCAATCCAACAATAAACTTCAATTACTAAAACCTACTTCAGGAACACCTCACCGTCTCTCTTTTTATAACCAAACTTTAACACTAGACGACACTCGTTTTAATTATTACCAAGATGTTATGGATTTTGAGTTAATGATGCACAAACTGGAAAATCAACTGAAGCCAAACTCGTCCTGCAGAATTAATGATCAAAAGATTACGTCAAAAAGGGTTCACCCACAATAATCTCTAGAAATAATTGAAATCAATAACCAACTAAAAGAAAACAAACAAGACAGAATCACAATAGAAACAGGTATTACAGAGTCGTTCCACGCAAAGTTTGTTACAAATAGAAACAAAATCACAAACGTAACACACATGGAAAACAAACAGAAAATAAATATATTCATATATATATATATAAGGAGTAGAATTTGACACATAATTGCAACCTAACAAACTCAGCGCTGTTCTGTCGCAAGCAACTAAGCTCTTAATGCAGAAAACCAGTACTCTGACGTCAAAACAACATACAAACATATACACCGGCATGGACAAAGCCACTATAGGACAAGAGGGAGCAATTACCCTCGCTGAAATCAGGGAAATTTAAAATTTATATATGGTTTTATATTTTTTCTCAAAATTTCCACCACTAAAACTCAGAAAAATTTCTATTTTCCAACAATTTAAAACTTTGTCCTCGATTTCCCACCACTAGGTTTCTAAAAACATAATTCTTATTTTTATCTTTCTAATGTTAATTTTAATTTTAATTTTATTTTATTGATTTTCCACATCTAAAATTTCCTTTCCCCCTGTTGTAATTTCCACACTTGACAATATATATTTGAGATTTCTTCATTTAAAATTTTGGATATGAAAATTTCAAAAATCCTGACTCCATACATCTAGGTATAATTAAACACGCAGAACCGTGTAGGCACTCCCAGATCTACAAGAAAGCATAATTATTCATTTACTAAAAGGAGAAACTTTCTCTAGTGAATTAAGATCAGAATTATAGAGAACACAGAAGTTTACAATCAACCTTCCTTCAACTATGCTCAAATCAGAAAGTACAAAAAAAAAAAAAAAAAACTATGAAATTCAAATATTATTAGTCAACGAGATTCATATATGTATGTACACACAACGTGTGCGCGTTACAGTGTAATTACAACGAAATAGTATACATATAAACACAAAAACAGAAGCAAAACAGATATAGTAGATCATATGAACATGTTAGAGATCAAAGTAATCAAACAGAAAGCTCAGAAGAAGATAGATCCATCGGAGAAAAGTGAAAAAAAATTGAAGGAATCAGAGAGAGAGAGAGAGAGAGAGGGATACATACCGGTAGCAGCAACGTTTTCGTAGAATTTGATTTCTGCATCCAGAGCAGAGTTTCTCTGGTTTTCTTAGAGAGAGAGAGAGAGAGTGGGAGAAAATGAGAGAGAAAAGGAAAGGAGAGGAGGATAAGAAGAGAGTGAGGGGATTGGATTTTGGAGTCGTCTGGCTTTCTACTTTAATTTTACTTTTTTTAATACCGCACGAGGAAGCAAATAGGAAAGTGGTGGCTTCGAGGGGAGAGAGAGACATGGGTTTCGCTTTTGACATCTACTTTTAACCGTGGTCAGGTTATTTTAAACCGCGGTCATGCCGTGGGACCTAATGACTTGCGTTACTTTCGCAACCAACCAAAAACAAATATTCATACAACAAAATCTATTGGCAATTTTTTAAATAGGATTCTGTTCTTGTAATAAATTAGTTTTAATTTTAATTTTAATTTTAATTTTAATTTCAATTTTATTTTTTTACTTTATTCGGCTCAGTTATCACTAAATATTATTTTATCTCTTTAAATTTTAGTTAAAAAGTCTATTACTACAAATTATCACATTATTTTTTTTATTTTTTTAAATACTTTTTTTTGTAAAAAGTTAAAATATTATTAAAACAACATATTTTTAAACAAAGCATAAATGTAGGTTTTAAAGCTATAAATAATAAAATAATATTTAATAGTAGTTAAAGTGAATAAACTTTTGATAAAACTCTTAAATTTATACCACAAACGACACTCTTTTTTTGGATTTTTTTTTGCTCTATTTCTTTTTTTCAAATTACCAACACATCCTTCTCAATGCGACAACATTTACCACTTCCACTTCTATAATCTCGTCACCTTCTTATATTGCCTCTCAGATCTGGGGATCCTGTCGTGCCTTTGGGCACAGTAGGTTTCTGTGCTCTCTTATGAAGTATCGTCCCGAGTCTTTTTCGATAATCTGAATCGTTCATGTTATAGAATTCATTGAGTAGATCATCTATGCAAAAAATCAAGTTGATTGAATAACTACAGCCCTAAAAGCACATTTGTTTTTATAAAAATTAACAGTTAACATAACTTTCACAAATTTTAAAAAATAATTAAGACCTAATTATGGAGTTATGAATATCCGATTAACTTAATTTTTTACGTGAATAATATTCTTGACAAATCCTACAATATAAACGGTTCAGATTATCGAAAAACGTTCGGGACGAATTCCCACAAAAGGGCACAACAGCACCCCCAAGTCCCCTATCATAACCACTTAGTCGGATAAAAAAAAATCACGACCACTTATTTACTTTTAGTCGTATCTCCAATGTTAATAGGCATATTACAAAATATATATTTTATTTTGTCTATTAACTTTTTTATATTTCTACTCCAGTCATACTTTTTATTTTAATTATTCATCTAAATACTATTAATATTATAGAATGCCACGTCAGCGATAAAAATAGAATAAAATTATCATAAGAATTAAATACATTTTGTCTAATCTTGGAAGACTAGCTACACGCAGTTAGTAAGTGGGTGTTTGGGAAGTGAGTTTTTTTAGTTGTAGGATGTTATTGGAATTTTTTTTTTTCGTGTTTGGGAAGATAGTTGGGTTTTTTGTGGTTGGATGTGATATTTATAAGAGAAAAAGTAAAATGATTATGAGGTTTGATATGATATTTTATTTGGATTTATTTTTTTGGTTTTATAACCAATTTGTCTTTTAGTGAAAAAAAAAAAAAACCAAAAACCAAAGAACTCCCACAAAAGGGCACAACAACACCCCCAAGTCCCCTATCATAACCACTTAGTCGGATAAAAAAAAATCACAACCACTTATTTACTTTTAGTCGTATCTCCAATGTTAATAGGCATATTACAAAATATATATTTTATTTTGTCTATTAACTTTTTTATATTTTTACTCCAGTCATACTTTTTATTTTAATTATTCATCTAAATACTATTAATATTATAGAATGTCACGTCAGCGATAAAAATAGAATAAAATTATCATAAGAATTAAATACATTTTGTCTAATCTTTGAAGACTAGCTACACGCAGTTAGTAAGTGGGTGTTTGGGAAGTGAGTTTTTTTAGTTGTAGGATGTTATTGGAATTTTTTTTTTTCGTGTTTGGGAAGATAGTTGGGTTTTTTGTGGTTGGATGTGATATTTATAAGAGAAAAAGTAAAATGATTATGAGGTTTGATATGATATTTTATTTGGATTTATTTTTTTGGTTTTATAACCAATTTGTCTTTTAGTGAAAAAAAAAAAAAAAACCAAAAACCAAAAAACTTCCTTCCCAAACCCCGCCTAACTATGAATTGAACTAAAATAACTAATTATATGCCTAATGGATTGGAGTTAAAAAAGTAAATTATACTCAACATTTTGACTAACAAGTATTATATGCTTAGTGAATTAAAAGATGCTCTAAAATTGCGGTAGATACTGTTGGAAAATTTGGTTTATAAGGTTTATTTTGGGCTAACTTTGAGCCCAAAATTGAGTAGGCCCCAAACGTCTTTTGGGGTAGGTCCAAAGAGGCGATGTGTTCCTTACCGCATGGCAAGTCACACGGTGAAGACGGTTCATCAAAATCATTTATGAGTGAATGGAAAATTGACGTCGTTTTCGGGTTCATGGAATTGGACATTTAAAGAATTAAATGTGGGCTTCCTTGAAATGGGTTGCCCCACATTGAAACTTTAAAAGAGCTTGTGTATGTATGTAAGCTCTAGAGTACAATAATTGGGTTGGGCCCTAAGGGGCACCCAAGTTTGTAGAAAGGGGGAGTTATAGACAAAATGAGCCTTAGCCCAAACCACCACACACACGAGCTCGCCGCCGTCCGTCCGGTCGGACGTGCCGGGTGTGGGATGTGGGTCGGGTCGATTCTTATATTAAATTTTCAAAATTTGAATTTAATTTTTTATGTCCATAAATGTGCCATTTTCAATCCACAAAAGATTCAAATTTAAACTGTCTACAGGTTTTAAACTGCCCGGACAGATTTAAACTGTTGGGCAGTTATCTGTCCAAAACTACCACCAGATCTGTTGTAGTTATAGCAGTTATCTGTTTGAATTTTGAAACTGCACCTGTTCAAAACTGTTTCATATCTGTTCGGTTTTTTTTATTGCACCTGTTCGGACAGAATTTTTGCTTATAAATACCAACATTTCCAGTAGTGTTCAAGGATAAAAAACAGTCTGAAAAAATACGTTTTGCTAGCCAGATTTTGTTCCTTTGCATATATAATCTTCATTCTAGGTTTAGAGAAAATTAAAGAGAGTATAGAACATAAGGTTCTAGTTCGCCGGACAGATTTGTTTGGAGTTGTAACAACCCTCGTCACTGTTTACTGATTAACCACTGATTACCGTTAAACTGAACTGATTATGACTGATAAGTGAACTGAATAAACTACTGAACTGACCGACTGAAATTGAAACTGAATTGACTGAGTATACCTGTTTAATTGTAATTCTATCTATTTGGCTATTTGATTATCTGTTCGTGCTTTTATGTTTAAATTGCAAATTGAAGGCCTTATCGGCGGCTGAATCCGAAATTGATTGATGATTTGTGATCCTTAGAATTAATGTGATTTTATGGTATATTTATCTGAAAACTAATTCGGTATGATTAAATTAGGTTAATTATTGAGAAGTTACATAGTTTGACTTAACTACAACTTTGCCATTTGAGTGGGCCACTACACCAAACCTTGTCTAAGGCTTAGTCTTGCATTACAAACATTTGCTCAGCCATTATTCTTGAGTGTATAGCCGACTAGAGAGGGAGAATAGGGAGTTAGAGTGAATTCATCTTGAATTGCTTAGAATCTTGAAGAAATTGTGAGAGATTTGCCTTCTTGAGCCTCCATACCTCTAATTCAAGACTTAGGCCTCGTTTGGGAACAGGCTAATTTAGTAACTTTTTGGCTTTTTGGCTAAAAAAGTAGGTAAAAAAAACGTGTATGTTTGGGATGACTTTTTGGCTAATTACGAAAAGATGTGCAAAAAGTAGAGAGAAAAGAGAATCTTTGACTTTTTGGTATGGGTTGTTGGCTTTTTGGCTAATTTAGTAACTTTTTGGCTAATTGGCTAAAATAGCCTCTTGCCAAATGAGGCCTTAGGTAAGGAATTCCAACCTCTCCTTGTTGTATTTAAGCTTGTTCATGCGTGGTTCTTGAGCCTTCAGTGATTTAAGTCAAGTTTTGGTCTCATGATGTTGAATTGGAGCCTAGTTCATGCATGCATGCCTTTACTTTGAAGTTTTAAAGTTGTCCTTCATGAAATTGTACATGCATGCTCACATTTTTACAATAGACCATGTTTTCACCTTGTCTTTGAAAGAATTGGCTCATTAGAGCATGAAATTGAAGCTTGAAATGGTTTAAATTCATGCATGGTTGCATGTTCTTCATATTCATGGAAATTGGTTTGAATTGGATTTATTTGAAACACCCTTGGGCTTTGATTTTACAAATTGAGCTTTGAACCATGTTAAAGTATGAGTTTTGATGTGTTTTCTGGAAAATTGGCCCAAGAGGATCGAAATTTATGGTTTAAAACTTGGTTTTGAGCTTGAGGTTCAAATCTGAAATTTCCAGAATTTGGACTCACGCTCGAGCGGGGTGACTGGCGCTCGAGCGTGGAAATCGTGCTCCCAGTATTTTGTTCTGTTTTGAATTCCACTCGAGCGGAATAATTGACGCTCGAGCGGGGCATTGTGTCTCATGCTCGAGCGGGTGTCGAGCGCCCAATCGAGCGTGATTTTCGCCTATCCAGCACTTTTGACTGTTTTGTAGAACGCTCGAGCGGGTAAGTCTACGCTCGAGCGGAAACCTTTGTCTGCATGTCCGCTCGACCGAATTAACCTATAACGCTCGAACGTGACCCTATTTTCTGAAAAGTCTGGAATGCTTTTTCAAGTGCATCTTTGCATCCTCATCTCATCCTAGGCATTCTTAGGCTAGTTAAAGGCATCCTAATGAGGATATAGATGTAGAACACACCGAGGCAATTAGGGATTAAGTTTTATCTTCCCAACTGTGTAGCTTAGTGTGTGTTCAATCTGTAACTGTGTAGGGTTGGCGACTGGGGACGCGCTCTAGCTTACTGTAGCCCAGAACTCTGTGAGTAACAACTTTGTAAAGAT